TGGACTGTTTCTAGTACTTGGAGAAATGATTTTACAGTACCTGTACCTGTCAGGAATGCCTAAATTTCTTTTTACTCATCTGACTCCATTTTCTTTGGTGGTCATTGGTACTGGAACAGCCAAAGGGCAGTGCTGTGCAGAACCCCAATAGTAAGACCATCCATGCATGAATTCTCATGGAAGTAATTTTGGTTTCCAGCTAAGACTAGTAGCACTGCAGGTGCCAGGAGTGACTTCTGTGGCTTGTAGCAGAGATAAAACCCTCCCATTAACGTTTCTGTACTTGGCTGGATGTGCAGTGGTGCTGGCAGGGGTTATCTTTAAATACTGCTTTGATATCATGTGGTTTCTAGGGATGTGCTCCCTAGCCCCCAGAGTAAGAGATCTGCCTTCAGGACTGTTTTCCTGCTGTGCAGCACATGGCCCTGGGTTTCATCTGACAGATGAGAAATGTGGTTGGATGTTTTTATCTACACTGAGGGCATCTATAGAGAAGTGTTCAAAAGTGAACTGCTAATACTTGTTTAGATCGAGGCAGGATGAGACCTGTGAGAATTCCACACCAAACGTGACCTTGGTGTTGAGTACTTGCAAAAAATACCAGTATTGTGAATTTGCACATAGAAAACATTTGGAAGTTAGTAACAACTGGTTTCCTTTTTCAGCATATCCGTGTGACACCTTTAGCAGTTCAGATTTTTTTTCTGGAACAATGCAGATGCATCAATACTTGGAGAATACTCTGGTCTTACAGTCCATGGTTTGTTTGAAGCCATAACTGTGGAAAACATAATTGGCTCTGAATTTTATCTCTTCAGATATAGATTTGCTAATGTCTTTCTTTATCATTTTTTCAAGTCTACATTTAGATTAAGTCATAAATTAGCTTTACAGCTTCTGAACTTAATCCAGAAAGTTTTCAGAACTGGGTATTGGAAAAGGGTTTAATTTTGCCTGCCAAATATGAAAAATTATTTCTGTTCCATTAAATTTACATTACATGTGTTGTAGAGGAGATGACTAAAGTAAAATGTGACAAAGAAGTGCAACTTGAAGAGCTGTCAGAAACTCTGGTAAATGTTCATTTTATTAATCTTATAGCATTTGCTCTTAATTGAAATTCCTCTTGCTTTGTAAGTATCTTAAATGCCATAAATGAACACCATCTAGTCAACTTTAACATTTCTACTAAACTTTCTCACACACAATTTCAGTGTTTTCTTTGAAGAACTTTATTGCCACTGTTTTTCTCGTCTCTTGTGTTTTGGTTTTTCTTGTCTCCCATGTTTTGGTTTTCATTGTCAAGGTTTTTGGTTATTTCCTTATTCATGCTCATTCAAATGCCACTCCCTCTGCATATAAAGTTTTCCAATTTTTTGCTTACTTATAGGAAGGTAATTGGCTCTGGCCTCTTTGAACCCTACTGTACTGTGACATAGGCCCATTTTCTGTCACAGAAGTCTTAAGCTATATGAAGTACACTCTTAATAGAGTTTTATTTTCATTATGATTTTATATTTACAAGTCTAACAAGAAACTGTATCAAGTCAAGTTAGTGTGAAATCAGGTGTACATTTTGCTGTGTCTGCTTATTGTTATAATCTGTGCATTGAGTGGTCTAAGTTTCACTAATTTTCTAAAATGGGCAGGTTGGAGGACTTGTACTGAAGAAGGATCTTGAGGCTACTGTAGAAAATTTGCAAAGAGAGAAAAATTTGGAGAGAGAAATGAAAATGCTCTTGCTTTTATAAATAGTGAAGTAACACATCATAACGTGTACACTAGTACATAAGAAATAGCACACAGAGCAATGTCCCACGCTGAACTGCTCTGCTCATAACAGTGACAGCAGGAGATCCTCTGTCCTCCTGTAGCCTCTTACACTCTTAGAGTGGCTGTACTAAGGATGAAGACACAGCCCTGCTGATTGCCTTTCTGTTCTATCTTATAGAACTGGAATTCTCTGATTTTTACTTAGATGCATGTAAAAGCTTATGAAGTCTGAAGTAAATGTCTTTATTTACAATTATGTCCAAGGAATCTAATTTTAGTAGTTTTGCAGACTAGGTAATTAAACTAATTACAGCAGGGGACATTTACAGCACTGGTGTCAGAGTTCACTCTCTCACACCACTTCCATATCCCACCAGAGATATGTGAAGATACAGTCTGGATAATCCATGACATGGATGTTGTTTGGTTCTTCTGAAAGCCTTGTGCTGTTAGCTCATGTCTGATAACCTCCATGAATTGTAGTTTACACATGTATACTCAAAACTTTTCCTTTTCTTTTTGCAGAAAGAAATCCATGATTTGAAAGTACAGCTGAAAAGGAACAAGTTTATTTAAACCAGCTTTTGACTCTGAAAACAGATCTTGAACAAGAGGAGTATGACCATTTTGAAAATATAGTATTTAATTTTTTTTGGTGTTATATAGAAGTTATTTTAATACACAGTGAAATGTACTATGATTGTTTTCAAAAGGAAGTTTTGAACTAATTAGTATGACATTAATTATACACTTATATTTGTAAAATAGATTTTGTCTATTTGTATGTATTCTGTGGAATACATGGTTCCATATCTGTTTGACTTAGTTAACAAGAAGAGAAGGTTTCTGAATTCATAGTTAATCCTGCTTTAAACTACATCATCTTCACTAAGCATTGTATTTATATAAAAGTTGGCTCTAGTTTTCTTTCCTTCTTGTGTCAGCTTTTTATATCACTGTGACTTTGCTGCAAAGCTTATATTTGTAGATAAAAGCCTGAACGTTTTTCAGCATGGAGTAACATTTGATAATGGGTATATTTAATTTAAAAGGAGATTTCAAAATGCATGTTCTTATTCCTCTTGGCCATTTGTTTTAAACTAGGTTGAAGAATGAACAACTAACAGTGTATCTCAATAAGCTTTCACTAGAGAAAGAACAAATAGCACAAGAGAAAAATGGTGTGACTGCAGAACTCAAGAGGCTGCAAGAAAAACAAGAGGCAAGTTGTAAACTTCCAGCTTTTTTTAAAGGACAGTACTCAATTTTACAAATCAGATGATAAGCTGCAACATGACATGGTTCTGTAGAGTATCTGAACTATTTTTTGTGTTTGAATTGGAAAGGAAGTGTATTTACATTTGTGAATAAGGCAGGTCAGTGTGCTTTGGATGTGTTTGAATTTTTTAAGAAGTCACTTTGAATTTTCTTTCTTTGCTGACATGGGTCTTTAGTTAGGATAGTAAGAAAAAAGAAGAAAATACAAAGCAGTTAGTTGAAAACCTAGAAGAGGCAAATAGCCAGCTAAGGCAAGTAAAAACAAATATTAATTTCTGATGTTGTTAAAGGAAGTAGACTGAAATAGTTGTGTTCATATGCTGCTTTCTGGGATTTTTTTGATTAATGTTTTTCTAGAATATATAGCTAAGCAGAAACTATTCAGTGTTGCTATTGGCCAGGTAGAAATTTTCTCAGATTATAAGTACCTGTTGCTGCAGGAACAACGTTTGCCATAGTTTTGTATTACATGAAAGCTGTTCTGTTTTGTGTTAGACATCTTAGGTGAGAAGGAAATAAAAATGGAAGTTCAAGGTTATGGATTAAATGTGACAAGGCAAAACTGGATAGGTGTTACTCTCTGTTGAAGTCTCTGTACCATCTGTTCAATAGACAGGCAACCTCCCATGTTTCATAGCTGCATTAAAATATTCCAGGTTAGGATGTATTTTCCTTAGGTTAGGTGGAACATCTTTTCCTACTTAAAAAAAGTATAGACTGTTCACATATTGACTTACTAGCCATGTTGCTTCATTTCACTGAGCAGCTTATGAAGTTCCCATCAACATTAGCAGATCTTTTTAGAAAATAAAATACAGCATTATTATTAATTATGATGTACTATTACAAGTATACTATAATTATACTAAAGAGAAGTTAAAGGTAATAAGTTAAAGGTAATAAGTAGATATTTACCAATTATTTAACAATGCGTGTTAATTTGGCCCTTAGAAGTGAACTGGAGTCTTTGAAGGAGAAAATGGCAAAGACAGGTGAAGAGGTTAAAAGTAAACTGGATGAAAGAGAAGAAAACGTACGTCACATCATGTGTCATGAAAATATGTTACATAACCTGTAGGACATAATCTAAATGTAAAATGTGTGTTGGGATTTTTTTCTGCAAAGCTCTGCCTGGGGGATGTGATCTCTGCCAGAGGATTTCTTCTTTCACAGCTGCTGCCAGTTGTGACATTGTGTATCCACATGCTGAGCCCTATTATTTTAAAAGACAAGCAAAATCACTGAGATGTTTACTCCTTGCTTGGAAGTTTGATATTAAAGATTTGCTTGATTTCTGTTTTTTCATATACCCACTGACTGATGGATGGGCTCTGGATTAGCTTTTTATATGTAATGTGAGTTTTAGCTTAAATAGGTTCAAATATTTTCACTTTCTTTCTATAGTTTCAAAGCAACCTGAGGTTTTTGGCATTAGAATGGATTTCAAAATTTCATTGTAAAAGTCAAAGATTTACAATTTTAATTTCAGGTTAAGGGTATTGAAAATGGAATTTCCATAAAAGAAAAGCAGTTGCAGATTCTAGAAAATAATTGGGAAAATTCATTTTTTCATGGATTGTAGGGAACTTCATACAAGTGTATTTTTAAAATTTTGAAGAGACTGGGTTTTTTTCTTCTTACTTAACCCTATAAACACTGGGTCACTGCTATTAATAAACATCTTGTAGTACTTTATGGCTAAAACTCAGATCATCCTAATATGTCAGCTTGTGTTTCAATCCTGTTGGAATAAACCAAACTGGTGCAAGTGCATGTTTGAGAATGCTTTGAGAGTGCATGTTTGAGAATCCTGTATTGAGAAATACAGGAATTGCTAACATGGAGTCATTTTTAGAACTTACTGATTAATATTTGAAATATCTCTTTCAGATGAATAGTTTAAAGAAACAGGTGGAAAATAAAACCAAACACATTGAAGAGTTGCAGCAGGAGGTGTGTAGAGATTTTAAAAATCACAAATACATAAACACATGGTATTTTGAGGTGACTTTTTCATCAGTTTTTGTCTGTTGAGGTATTGTAATTTAAACATTTTCCTTTCTTATCCTAACTCTGAGCAAATTAAGGAGTCATCTTTGGAATCACTTGATTTGTTAAATTAGCTTTAATTTGAAAAGAACAATTACAAAAATAATATCTTGAATAAACTTGTACTTTTTTCATTTAGTACATAGTATTATTTATTTACTGGTCATCAGGACTATCTCAGTTACCAGTAGTAGAAAAGAATTCTGCAGTAGCACAAATTGTAGTAACTTCACTGTAAAAATAATTTGTATATTTTGTCATGACATCTTCACACTTTCTGTCAGCAGCACCTTAGTTTTAATTCCCATTTTGCACCTCATTTGTTTTCCCTGTTGTTGCTCAGAAGGAGCTCTTTCTTAAGGTCATGAAGAAACAGTATTATCACAGTAATTATTTGAGCATTCTTTGGAGAATTGTTGTGGAACCTGAACTACACAATGGAAAGTTATTTGCTTGATGAAAGCTGGAATTTTGAAGATTCTGACATTCCTGATGCAGTTAAACCATTACATAATTCTATTAACTTATTAAGATACAGTCCTTGGTTTTTATTTCAACAGAATAAGGTGCTAAAAAAGAGAATTACTGCAGAAAGCAAGAAAAACAGTATTTATGAAGGGAAGGTAGGTTTAAATAACATCATGTAGAAGATGAGGTGAGTGCTTTTAAGCCCCAGTGTAACTAATGGTAATACTTGTTAAATACATTCTGAACTGATTTATAGATGGGGGATACAGATTTTGTGGGAATGAGTTCACAGTTTTTAGAAGATGCTTCCATTTTTAATCATTGGGCATTGACTATTGGACATTTAAAAGAGATGGACTTCACATCACAATTAATTATGTTTGTAATCAGTTCCTTTCTTTTTTTTTTCTTTTGTTGATAGTAGACTGAACAGGGTTCAGTAACCCCATTGTGACAGAAAAGCATTTAAAAGATATACATGTATTACTCACTTTAGGCTGTTCTTTAAATGTGTTCTGCAGTCACAAATCCCTCCGATGGGAATATTGTGTCCAGCTTTGGGTACTGCACTTGAAGAAAGAAGTGGACTTTTGTGAGGATATCTATATGAGAAACTTAAAAGGAAAAACTGTAATCTGCTGTAATCTGCAAAATGCTGTTGCCATGGTTTCTTTGAGTATTTTCTAACTGACTTCAGGCCAAAGTTCAATTCTTTATAAAAAAAGCTGAACTTTTAAATAGGAAACACTTTAATCGTATACCTGAAAAGTAACAGTGTGTTTCTGCTCAAAAATAAGAGGTAAAAAAAAAGCATTAACATATTAATTCCTAAACAAATAACAGCAGCAATTCTGCATTCCCAAAAGGTGAATAAATTGCAGTTAGAGATGGAAAATATGAACAAAGAACATAAGGAAGCAGTTGACATCTATCAAAAAGACATAGAAACAAGAAAAATGAATGAAAATAAACTTCATGAAGAGGTGAGAGGTGTTAATTTTTTCTGCAATTTATTTTTTTTTAATTTAAAATGTTTTTATGAAGCTTTATTGGCCAGAGTTCTTACTCTTACATTTCAGTCTTATCAACATAAATGGAACTTCTTTTGTATGCCCATGAGCAAAGCTTTAGTACATTAGGTGCTTAAGTTAAAGTATTTGAATATATCTTTGAAAATGAAAACCCAGTTAAAAACTACTTCTTTCAAGATACAGTTCAAAGAAATTCTACCCTTGGTATAAAGTCAGCATAACTAAATTAGATTATAACTTCTCCCATATTAATATTTTTTTTCCCCACACATTTTTTGATGGTAATTCTAGGAAATGTTAGGGCAGAGAGCTTGAAATGGCCTTTTGGTTAGAAGTGAACTTGCCTGCTGTGGATGTACCTTTAATCTTGCCCATTTTAACAATCTGCATAAAAGATGTCAGATTTGAAAAAGATCTTAAAAGCAAATGAAGTCCAACTGGGATTACATACTTGGCACCCACAGGGGGAAGATAAATTAAACTAAGATTTAAAAAAAATATATTGTTACATTTATGAATGAAATGTAATTTATTACTGACAGGTAGAAAAGTTGAGGTTGCTTTATGATGAAACAACAATGATACAAAGAGAAACTGATATCAGATGTCAGCATAAGATAACTGAAATGGTGGCACTTATGGAAAAGCACAAGGTGAGAGATTTTACTGATTGCCCTGATTTGTATTTTGTGATACCACGTTAATAACCTTTCAAAATCAGAAAAAGGCCTGAGTCTGGGAAAAGGAAGCTGAACACATACTTGAGTTTTCATCATCTAAAATCAAATTAATTTGAAGATTTTTGAAAACATGCCTATGGGCAGATAAACTCCACTTATCTAAACTTCTTGGATTTTTAATTGCTTTTTTTTTTTTTTTTTTAAATTCAGGCTTCCTTTGATACCATCTGAATGCAGTATTTTTCAGTATCAGTTTGGCCTCTTATTCCGGGGCGATTACTTGGTGACTGTCAGCCGTTTAGCTTGACATGTTTTAGGTTACCTTTCTATTACCCTCTTTTACCATATCTTCAGCAGGTGTCATTAATAAAAGTAGCACAGCTGGCTCATAGGTGCTGAACACATATTGCTGCACGGAAATACAGCACTCTCTGCCAGTCCGCAAAATAATACTGTATCGAGCATTTTCTGTTTTACAGTCTCTGCAGAAGCATCAGTGTTTGTTCATGGTGCTTTCTGAAACTTCTGAAGAGCCTGGTTTGAAAGAATGATTGATGTTTTAAGACTGAATCGATCTATAATCGTAAAATTTAGTCACGTTTTGAGTTTGTTGTTGGTTTGATTTTTTTAACACAGAACGAATATGATAAAGTGATTGAAGAAAAAGATGCAGAGTTAAAAGTATATAGAATTAAACTGCAAAAGCAGTTATCATCAGAAAGAGCACTTTAAGGAGTACTTTCCAATGTTAAATAATTCAGTGAAGGGGCTGATGTCCTTGTCTCATGGTTTTACACTGGCTAAGAGCCAGGCATGCACGAAAAAAAATTCACTCATTTTTCTGTGCTATAGTTGAGCAGAGGAGGGGAAAGAAAAATTGAAGGGCTTATGAGCTAAGGATTAGGAGAAAAACACTTTAAGGGTAAAACAGGTTCAATTTTAAATAGTATCAAGAAAATATAAATAGAATTAAAAGTGGGTAATCAGAATTAAAATAAACCTGTTGCCCTGAAGACTAAGCCTTCTGATCTTGTTTTCATAGTTTTAGTTACTTCCCAGGAAAGTAACTGTAAACATAAATATTTACACATCCTTCTAAGAAACATCTTTGATGGACGTTTCACATGACCAGTGTGATTGGGAAGGTGATAATTTAGTTACCCAATCCCTGGGCATTGTCAAGAATCTATAAATACTGGAGTCAGAAAATAAAGTTACTGCTTTTCCTGTCATACCATTGAGCTGAGTCTGTGTGAATCATTTCGTGTCCTTTAGTGACATAAACCTTTAGAACACCTTCTTTTCCACTGACAGTATAGAGACAAAACATGTGATCTTTAATCAGTTTGTCACTTCTAAAAATATTTTTTTCAGTTTGTTTAGGGAGTTTCTTGCTCTGCCATGGGGTCTTTCCCACCAGAGACAGTTGTCTGTGAACCTTTCCAGTGTGATTTTAATTTTGACAAATAGCCATCCCACCCGACCTGCTGCCACGTGAGTCCCTCCCAAAGGTAAAGTCTTCGCACAACTGTTTTGCAAGGGTCATTAGTTTAGGGGCTGCAGTCTTTTAAGGAGGAGCTGTTCTAGTTTGGAAGCATGGATTCTCCAGCTTCTCTCTTTGTTTGAATTTCCCGCTACATGACAGCTTTTTAGCATCCACTTCCTCCAGCATGAGCAACTTTTCTCACGGGCTGTGATGGATCTCTGCATTCCCCCATGCGCTTCATAAATTACAGAGAAACAGTTTGTTGTAGTATAGTCCTCACTACAGCTTGCAGAAAAATCTCAGCTCTGACGTTTGGAGCACTTCTTTTCCTTCATTCCCCTCACTGACTTTAGTGTTGCCATGTTGTTCTTTTCACATGTCTTCACTTTTTCCTTCTCTCTGATTTGGAGAAAATTCTTTGGAGGTTCGTTTGTTCTCAAGTTCTATCAATTGGAAAGTTCTTGTAGGGTTTTGCAGTGCTGAAAAGTTGATCTCACCTGGGCTCTGTATTGGGGGTGTTGCTCGTCATGCCCCCCGCTGTCAGCCACGTGGTGCCCACCACGACCACTGAGGCACCATCTCATGTTCAGCCCTCTCTTCACGCAAGGCACTGAGAAGGAGAAGCTGCTTCCACAGCTTCTGTCCTTCTGCAGGCAGCACGGCTGGCTAAAAGCGTCTGAGCAGGCAAAGTGCATGAGGAGCTGTGCCTTCCCTTAATATATCACAGAGGCATTACTGACTTTTTTAATTAGGCCAACAACATGTCCATGATCAGAGCCTTCAGAAGTTGGCTCTGCTGAACACAGTAGAAGCTTTGAACAGGTTTCTCTCTCAGAAGCCACTTCTGTGGCTTCCTCCACCCCCACTGAGAGCCAAGATGTGTTAAACCAACGTCCCTTGAAGAGTAATATAATTATAAATGCCATATTTTACTTCTTCCTATTGAGTACTTGGGGAAGGGTTAACTGTCTGCTTTAGTGGGATTGATTCAGCCCACTAATTTATTTGCTTTTATTTTCTTACAGATCTTATTCTGGGCACTAAAAACTCCAAATGTTTCTAAGAATAAATTGGAGTAGCAGTTTGTGTCTGCTCTTCCAGATTGTGTGTCATTTTCTGGCTTCACAGTTTGAATATGAAATTCTTGTTTTAAATAGTTAAATAGTCTCTCACCACTCTTTTCCCAAGTGTTTTAAGGTCTTACCTTGAACACTTCTGATCAATTACCTTTTCTTATAGTACTTCAGGTTCTTTTAAACAAGCTAAAGCAAAGGTTCAAGTATAGAGTTGAAAAACAAATAGAATTATCTTTTGTATGTAATGAGTATCCCTAGTAATTACTGTTTCATTTTGGACTTTTATTTTTTCTGGGTTGTGCATAGTTAACCATATCATTTATTTAATTGTTTTTAGGAAAATGAGCTGTCATGTTTGAAAAGTGAACTGTCATCCCTTAAGGAACAACTGAAAGCAGAAATTGAAGAGAAGGTGGAGTTTTTTACTAACTGAGCAGTGTGGGTGAGAGGTGTGGCTTGGCCTTGTGCTCTGGGAGAAGTTGTATAAGAAATGAAACTGAACAGAAAAAACATGATTTTGAATGCTGCAGTTGTACTAAATCTGGTCATTTATTTGTGTAATCTTTGTAGCAATTGATGATTGTAGACTGTGTTTTGGAATTACACCAAGAAGATTTATAACAATTGAATTGAAATATTTACTGCCTATCACATAATCCTTTTTTAGGAGAATCTTGTAAAAGAGCACTCTCAAAAGATGATTTCTGAAAGTGAAAAGAAACACAAGGTAACTTTTACTTTTTAATTGGTTTTAGAATTTGGTAGTGTGTATATGTGTAGAATCAACTGAAGTGCCATGATAATTTATTTGCATTCAACAAAAGACATTGGAATGCTTTTAACTTATAACCTTTTAAACTTATGTTCCTGGGACTCCTAAACCTTGTTTAGGTCCAGACAGTGAATCTATTAATGTAAAAAATAGAAAGTCTCCAAATTATATTCTTATGGAAGTCAACATGGTGGAAAAGAAAAAAGTGTCTCCTGTGGTACCTGCAGGAATCCCCTTGGGCAGTTCAACATTGAAGTTTTGTAACTCCTAACAGTGAATTTTTCTTGTTGCATTTTTCTGCCTGTATTTCTTAATTCCCTGTAGATACTTATTTATTTTCTTCCTGGGATAACCAGGGATTTTAAAGGGTGATACCATTCCATGGAGATAGTAGACAGCAGTTTGTGGAAGGGTTCCAAATATGACATTTTTCTTGCTCAGTTGTTGCTTTATGTCTCTAGAATTGTTTTACTTAGTGTTCAAAAGTATCCATTTGAAAAGGCAATTTTTCTCTATGGAAGAGAAAAAAAAATTATATAGCTGTAAAAATTGTCAAAGTATCAAAGTATTTCTGAGTGCAAAACTTACTCTTCTTCCTTGTCAAGAGTGTGCTTGTGGTTTTCATATTGGAACAATAAAATCCACTCCCATTTTGATGTTATCTTTCAAAAAAGGGACTGCACTGGACCATTGCAATGTTCTCAGATTAATTTCTAGTGAAAAGACTATTTTAAATAACACCAATGTTATCACCATCAATCTTTCCCCAAAAGCCTCTTCCTGCAGTTTTGTTCATTTCCATTTTCTTAGATGTTTGATATAGTCCATATGCAGTGGCTACAGTTCAGAATAATCTGAATTTCTACAGAGAAGCATGAAGAACTTAGTATGCCATGAAACTCAGTTCTTCCACAGCTTCCTGTTTATTCTCCTCATTTGGCAACCAAAAAAGGATATTTCCACCCCACCCCACTTTGTTTGGGTCTTTGCTTCATGTTTGGATGGAAAGATAATAGTTCCACCACATCTCTCAGGTGTCATCTTGGACACTCAGACTGTAACCTGGGTCGTGAGTTTAGGTTTATACTTACCCCATAAAATATAATGTAAAAATATTAAAAAAAATTCTTTTCCAGACATACATTGTAAAGACTCCTCCAGTAGATAAACTGCGAAGTGGAAGAAGCACAAACCTACCTTCAGAGGAGAGCACAAGCAAAAAGCAAAAAGTGCTTCTCCAGTTGGATAGTCAGTCAGACAGCTCTGAGTACACTGACCTCCTGGAAAGAGTCAGAGAACAAATAATGTACTGAGCAGTTCTTTGTGCTCACTGCTGTGTCCAAGAACGAAAATAAAGAGTTTAGGCTTCCACATTCAAGCCAATATTTATGTATATTTTTTTATTTAATTGGCTCTTTCTGGATTTGTAGTTGTATGTACATAATTTACATTTTTTTCATGGAACTGTTATGCCTCATAATGACATCTTAACTTTTTTTTATATAGTTTAATGTCCATAGGGGGAAAGAAAAATTATTTTTTAATACAGTGTGACTAAGTAACTTTTTAATTTATTAGAGCATAGTCTCGGAAGAAGAAATGTTTAAAAAATTGTACAAAGATTATCCACAAGCTTCACAATTACATTCCACAGCACCAAAAAAGGTATGTTAGCCTTTCATATGATTAAACCAAACAGTTAATCAGATTGTTTACACAAGCTAATGGATGGCTTTATTTTCCTTCCTAGACACCAACTTCATCCAATGTGAAATCTCCAGACTCTTCACTGAGATTCAAAACAATGAGGAGAACGCGCCAGGCGGACTGGACTGCGGTTTCCAAAATGGACAGGAAAAGAAAAATGAAAGAAGCTGCAAAGTTCTTTACTTAAAATGCAGAAATATCCAGTGCCTGGGCATTGCTTATGGGTGCCACCATAGGGGTGTTATTCTCTCAGAGTTAGTACTTTGTTGCATTTTTCTGTCATACTCAGTGCGTTGAATTCTATGATCATTTCCTTTACACATATAAACTTTATAGATCTATAAAGACATCCCCCTGCAGAGTATTTTCCACCTTTCCTCCCTTCTGCTGGAAAATGTTGGGACACAAATTAGCCAATTTTAAATTTTGAAAGAAATATAACTACATAGAAAGTTGTTCCAAATCTGTTTCTGGCATTAGAAATTCTGGTTTTAAAGAACTTCTGTTCTTTAAATTTTACTCTGTTTTTGTTAACACATAATACTTAGTGAAAGAAATGTAGCTTTTAAATGTATTCACTTTTACCTGAAGTCCTCTTGCTTTTTCCTGCCTTTTAAAGGCTGTTAGACCTGTCTGTTTAGACTGTTCTAGATTGTATGTTAAAACGGTTTTGAAGCTTCTAAATCTGAAGTTTTAATAGAATTACTTGTATTTAAATATTTCAGCTACATAAGAAATAAAATATGCACGTTATAAAATTGCACGTTATAAAATTGTGAAAACAATGTTAAGATGCCATTAAATTGTTTATCTGAAATACAAATTGTGGGACTAAATGTTGTTGCTTGAAATATTTGAACAGACGGAAATTACCAGCCAGCCTTCCTAGGGACAGTAGCTTCTGCCACAAAAGTGTAAGGAGAGATTAGAACATCTATTTCTGTATTAATCCTTGATTAATCTTGATTTCAACAATGACAAACTCTACTTCAGAGCTTAGAGATGACAAGAAAACTATGTCTTGAAAGATAATGAAAAATTAAAAATCCCAGATTCATCTGAAGTGGGAAGCAAAACATACCTGCTGCATTCTTTTTGTGTAGTCTTATGGACAAGCCAGTAGTTTGTGTTCTTTATGCTGAGCTGTTGAGCAGTGATGTAAATAAGATTTGTTATTGTATGTAACTAACAAATATTGTGCAAAGATCTGTGAGAATATACTGTGCTTTCCCCATGAGCACTTGAAATTGAAAAATGGAAGTCTGTACTGCTCACTTCTAGACTCAGTGACTAATCAGTTAGAGCCTTGGTATTTTCTAGGGACATGAATCCACGGTACATCACATAATTCTCCTGATACCATGAGTGTGTCCTGTGAGGTGGTGTGTAAATCACCTGAAAAATTACAAAAATATTGCTAGCAACACTCCAGAAAGCTTGCAGGAAATGCAAACAGCAGAGAAGGGTGTAAAGTCACATCTGCCTGTTTCTGTGTCTGATTCTATACATGGGCTGGGGTTCCCCGTACTTGTTGCTGTGGCAACAGTCCACAGCTACATCTCTCCCTGTCTCTCTTCTCTGGCACTTGCCCCTCGCACAGCAGCACCCGATGGGGGAGAATCCAGAGAGTGAAAGAGACCAAACTCCTGGGCTCAGACACAGTCAGGTCGATGGGGGAAGGAAAATTTGTGCAAGGAAGCAAAACCAGGAATTCATTCCCTTCTTTCCTCAGGCAGGTGGCTGTTCATCCCTCCCCAGGTGAGCAGGGCTCCATCCCAGGCAATGGTGACTTGGGAACACAAATGCCATCACTTCCAGCATCCCCCCTTCCTACTCCTCCCACCCACTTCCCAATCTGATTCTTCTTCCACATGGTCTGGGGTCAAGTCAAGGTCATCTGTCTATGTTGGGGAGGATTAAACAGGGAAACCTTATGAATATGATTGTTTAGCAAAAATAAAAAATGAAAATATGACGCCTAGAATCGAAATAGAAATAAGAGCTGGCTTTGAGTCATGGGATACTGAGTGCTATCCAAGGAACAACAGCCTAGCCAGCTAAAGGAGAATCCCTGATGATGAAACAATGTCCTTCTGCAGATAGAGAATCCAAAGGTCAAGCAGCAAGAGAAGAATTTCTAAAGCTTTTAGAGTTTGAAATATAACACTGTATGGTAATGTAGTAGTTCCTATAGGCTATATGTAAATTCTTTAGTGGGTGTCTCGTAGTGATTGGTTACTGGAATTAGAATATTCGCTATAGAAAAGGATATATTGGATTTTAACAGGAAATTCGCTCTCTTGTGTTCTCCCTACTCTCTCTCATTCTCCCCATTCTCTTAACTCCTTTGTGTTCCCTCTTCCTCCTCTCTTGTTCTCCCCTCTCTCCTAAGCCTCCCTTGTTTTCCCCACTCTCCCTCTCTCTCTTGTTTTCCCCCCTCTCTCTTTTTAACCTCTCTTCTCCTGCTCTCCCTGCTCCACTCTCTCTCCCTCCATGACCACATGTTCACTGAGGCTGATGGTGGACATGGGTCTCTCCCTCTCTTTACGCATATAATAAACTGCTTATACCTGAACAGCTCGACCCTGGAGAAGTCTCTCCCCTCGAGCAAGTGTTTTGTACATCAACATGTCTCAGCTGTGTCTCTCCTGCTTTCTGGTGCTCCCCCAACACCCTCACTAGCGGGGCAGGATGAGGAACAGGAAAGGCCTTGGCTCTGGGCAGGAATAAAAACCTACCCGAATTTCCCCCACACACCCCTGTTTCCAGCCCAAATCCAAGCCCAGCCCCAGAGAAGCCCCTGGGAAGGAAGGTAACTCCCCCCAGCACAAACCAGTCCCCAGTGCCATCCCCCAGCACCTGGGGCCAACACTGTCAGTGCTGTGCACCCAGCCCGGGCAATGAGGTAGCAGGATGGTTACCATGGCAACCAACTGTAGCAGTGGAATTTTATTATGGATGCCATGGCACTGTCCTTTCGATTGTATTGTGGGATAGTTTCCATGGCAAATGATTCGTGCAAGTGTCTTACATAGTCCCTTGCAATTGGTTTATTGATGGTTGCCGTGGAAATTGCAGCAATGAGAGGAGTCTCTGTGTATGTTGTTGTGGCAACTGCCATAGCAACTGCCCCAGTGCTTGTCATGACAACCAGCCCTGGGAACAGCACTTGAAATGGTTGTGGTGACAGCCAGCCACAGCAAAAGGTCTCACTGAAATGTCTGTGGCAACAGTTCCTGGCAATGTATCCATGATGGTTGCCATGACAGCCATCCCAAGTGCTGGTTACCATGGAAATAGTCCCTGGCATAGCATTTCCATGGGTGGTTGCCACGGCATTGAGCATCAGCAGTGTGTTTGGCTGACTCTGTAACATCACAGCTCCAGAATTCCATGGCACAAGCCCATAGCAATGGGGTCCTAGTGCTGGTTTCCATGGCAACTGAGCATCACAATTGGTTCATGTGATGCTCAGTTGCCATGGAAACCAGCACTAGGTTGCTTGCTGTGGCCACAACTTAAGAAGGAGTCCTAAGTTGATAGTTGCTGTGGTAACAAGTGTGATTGATAATTGCTGTGTTAACAAGTTCTCGGGGTGGTGGTGGATGCCCCATTCCCATGAACAAGGAAGGTCAGATGGGACAGGGCTCTGAACAACCTGATCCGGTGAACGATGTGCCTGCTCATTCCAGGGGTAGTCAGATGAGAGCAGAGCTCTTCCAATCCAAATCCAACTGTGTGGTGAAAAGGGGCTGCTCAGTGGACCTTGCTGGCTGATCCTGGTACCTGATCAGCAGAGTCTGCCCTGTCCTATTCAGTCTTCTTCAATGTTTGCCCTTTATGTATTCCCAGTTTTACTCTGTGTGTGTGTTTGTGTGTTTGTGTGCTGTAAGGACCAAGTGCCTGCTGCTGGCGAGACCTTCTGGTGGGAGTGAGAATGGGGCCCAGGTGCTGGGGTCAGACTGGGGCCATGGGGGTACTGTATGGATGCTAACTGTGAAGCAGAGAGCAAAGTGCCTGTAGAAATTACAGGCCACATAGCTTTCTCAGTCTTGCCTGAGAAAGTGGCCTGGTAAATTATAAGGAGGAATTAAAACAATCCTCAGAGATAGAAAACAGCCTTGCAGGTGCTGTTTGTCTGTTCCTTGTTTTATGGCAAGAGAAGGTCGAGGGGTGGTGTACCCCACTGACCAATGATGATGTGTTAGTTTACTAACCGATAAGAGTTTTCTTTTCTGTACTTTTCATGTATCGGTCTATAAAAAAGACCTGAGGTAATAAACCGAGAGAAATTCTCCTGTTGACTCCCAAGAGAGTCTGTGTTGTTCTTCTCGCCGTTCCTAATAGAGTGACATCTGGTGACCTCCTATGTGATGTGCATCTGGTGACCCCCGAGGGTCAGTGCAGCCAGCAGACCACGAACCAGCTGCTTCCTCCACAGAGGGGTAAGTGAGAATCTCTCCTGGAGGGAGCTGGTTTTTTAGACCAATGGGATAGTGGGGCCCTGCCAGTGAGCAGGCCTGGAACGGCTTATCTTGACGAAGCTAGAGCTTAAAGTCTCGGGTTAAGCCACTGCATCTGCGTAATTGCATTCGTGGGCCATCAAGATAGATGGTTCTCACAATGAAGAACTGTTGAAAGACCCCCAAGCTGTTCACCAGTCTTCACAGAAGTAATTGTGAATGCCGTTTATTTCTATTATTAACACACCTTTTATAGGGTTCTACAGGGTCTGCGGGCAGAGCAAGCTACTATTGGCTAACACACATAGGTTTACATTCCTATCCTTGTACACAAGGATATTGTTTTGCTTTACTCTCTCTTCTGCAGGCAAGTTTCAAGGATTTCAGCTCTTAATATCACGACTTATTTCAAAGGCTGGTTTGTGCATACAGGCCTTTACTAATATATAAAATATAGCAACAAAGAACCTCAGTTCAACTGATGATCAACTTCTCTGTGTGGCAGAACACTTTATCACGTATGAGACTCAATATTTCTGAAGATGCTATGCATGCTTTATTCCAGTGGGTGAAAGCACAAAGTTTTACTGTGACTGTCGATAATGCCTTTGATCTCCAAGTCTGGCTGTCAGTGGGAGACCGCCTATTGTCTGAGTCAGCTGCAGGAGATACCAGCGTGTGCAGCCTGGCAGCCACCTGGGGTGTGCTCTTTAAAGTGTTGGAGCGGTGCCAGTCTGGGGACAGCGATGCTGGGATGGAGGATTCGGATGCCGGGGGTACCTCTTTTGTACACCATGAGAGACTGGAGGATGGGACCGAGGACGAGCAGTGTAGCGCTCCCTTGGGTCTTCCCAGACCCTCAGAGGACTTTGGCCTTGGGCGGAAGCAGTCTGTGCACCAGGAATCTCCCTCTCCAAAAGAGATCAAGTATCCATCACCTGTGGAGCTGGGCGTGCAAGCTTTGTCAACCGAGAGGCGGCAGGGGAACGGAGATCACCCGCCCCCGCCTGCACCCTCCGCAGTGCCTTCACCGGCGCCGCGAGCACTGCCGTGAGCAGCTGCGGGGGGCCCCTTGCTGTCGATGGTGTTCTTCAGCTCTCCCACGCCCTTTGCGTCCCTTTCTCCTGTGCCGCAAGGGACAGCACAGACGCCCCCGCTGCAGCCTGCCGGCGCGACAGAGAGAGCGGCCCTCCCGCGTCCATCCGTGGGACCCATGCA